ATTACAGCATGTTTATGAAGAAACCTAGCACAGGTCTCCGTCTTTTTTCACTAGCAATCTGGGGGGACGGGTGGAAAATAGTGAACCCCCCCCACACCCTACTGTCTTAAAGTATACAGCTTTCTCTTCTCAGCTTTCTTCTTTGGCAAAACCTAGAAAGCCACTCTTCCATGAGTTCTTGAGTGCTTTGCTCATCCACCTTGCATACACACTTGCGGCTGCGAAGGCAGCACTGCCTCGGCAGGGTGCCAGCTGCTCTGCTCATCCTGAAAGCCCGGTGCATCAAGACTGTTGTTTCTGATCTGCTCCCCGTGTTTGCCTCTGTCCACAGAGCTGCGCTAAACTCCCAGAGGCTACCTGCAGCCGCCTCAGTAGCCAGATGTTCTGAAAGTCATGGGAAGGCAGCACTAGCAAGACCACACCGAAGTTTAATGTGCTGTTTTGCTTATGTTAATAAGGGAAACATTTCTTCTGAGGTTGTGCTTTTCTAATTAAAATAAATTCTTTCCACTTCTTTTTTTTTTTTTTTTTTGGTGGTTGTTGTTGTTGCTCATGAGGCTTGAACTTTGGGCCTGGGCTCTGTCCCTGAGCTCTTCAGCATTCTGCCACTTGAACCACAGTGCCACTTCCGGTTTTCTGGTGGTTAAAGATAAGAGTCTCACGGACTTTCCTGCCTCTGCTGGCTTTGAACCACAATCCTCAGATCTCAGCTTCCTGAGTATTACAGGATTACAGGTGTGAAACACCAATGCCCAGCTTCTTTAAGAAATCTTACCCTAAATTGGGCACTGATGGCTCAGGTAGGTAATCCTAGCTACTTAATCTGAGGATCCTACTTTGAAACTATCTTGGGTTTAAAAAAAAGTCTCCGAGACTCTTACCTCCAGTTAACCACCAAAAAGCCAGAAGTGCCAGAAGTAGAAGTGTGGCTCAAGTGGTAGAGCACCAGTCTTGAGCAAAAAAGAGCCCAAGGCCCTGAGTTCAGCCCCAGTACTGGCACAAAAGAACAGAAGAGGGAGGAAGAAACACTACCCTAAATTTTCATAAGCAATGGAGGTCCTCCCATGAGAGGAGAAGACATAGAGGAGAAGGTTATGGAGGGAGACTCCACACCAGAGCTCTCCACCAACAGCCTGTCCTCTACTCCGGTTCCCAGACTAGTGCAGCCAGCTGAAGTATAATTGCCAGCCAGGGGTTGTCTCTGTGTGAACTCTCAGTGGCATCCCAAGGGGCTGTGCCATAGGAACCTCAGAGTGGTCTCATTCACTCAGCACGAGGTCTAGAAGGCAAGGCTGATAACCCAGGTGGCCTTGGAGTTTCAAGCAGTTGAACATTTGGCTTATGAATAACCCTAGACTGGTCTCTGGTGCTTCTTCTGCCAAGTTTCTTCTTCTTCTTCCTCCTCCTCCTCCTCCTCCTTTTTGAGGTATGGGGATTTGAACTTAGGGCATCATTTCTGCCAGGCAGGTGCTATACCATTTGAGCCAAGCCTCCAGCCCTTTTTACTTGGTCTATCCATCGAGTAGTGTCTAACATGTATGCCCAAGCCAGCCTAGACCACGGTCCTTCTGTTTATGCTTCCCTTGTAGGTAAGATAACAGGCTCACACCACAGTGCTCAATTTTATATTGGTTGAGATGAGATCTCGTGAACTTTTTTTTTTTTATTATTTTTTTTTTTTTGGGTCCAGTCGTGGGGCCTGAACTCTGGGCCTGGGCGCTGTCCCTCAGCTCTTCAGCTCAAGGCTAGCGCTCTACCACTTGAGCCACAGCGCCACTTCCGGCTTTTTTCTTTTTGCTTATGTGGTACTGAGGAATCGACCCCGGGGCTTTGGGCTTGCAGGCAAACGCTCTACCACTGAGCCACCTTCCCAGCCCTCTCGTGAACTTTTTGCTCCAACTAGCCTTGAACCTCAACCCTCCTAACCTCTGACTTCTGAGTAGCTAGGAATACAGGTATGAGCCATCCCAAGTTTCCTTCTAATTGTGCTATTGATTTTTTTTTTTTTTTAGCTGATCAGTAATTTACATTGCCTTCAAGGAAGAAAAAGCCCTGAGCTAACAGCAGATAACTGCCAGTCCACTGACGTGCAAGGTCAACCTGGGATAGTTGCTTCCTTTCCACATCTTTTTTATTGTCGTGCACCAATTGCAACAAATCAGACTTTAGAATTCCCAGTTAATAGGGTGGAGTAGTCAGAGTCCTGGAGTGAAGGACAATTGGTTTCAACAGGTGTGCCAGCCTGTCTGCCATGTGTACCAGGTGTTGTACAGTGTACTTTCCCACCAGATAACTAGCACCCCAGCTCCTCTTCAGAAGAGAGGAGGTGTTCTGAGCAGAAAGACCAGCTATGCAAAGCAGCACTCACAGTAATACTGTAGCTATTCTTAGCCCTAGCACAGGACCATCTCAGAGAAATGAAGCATTTGCTGCACGTCTACACACAGTGCAACCCATAAGGGCAGTCGGAACTAAAACAGGTTTGTCTGAACCCAAAGCCCACTTTGTCACTTTCAGAAAATACTAAGTGGCTTCTTGAGATGGGAATGCAGAGACTGGGGGATGGAGGGTGGCCGGGGTGAGACAGGGGTAGCAGGGATGGCAGAGGCTGTGAACCACATTAAAGAGTGGAGACTTTAAACAGAGGGTGGGGTGAGTCACTGAGGGGTTTACGGAGGGAAGGGCATGGTCAGATGTGTATAAGAAAGATCACATTGCCTGCATGAGGATGGATTAGAGGGAGAGAGCAGGACAGACTTGTAATAATCCAAACAAAAGGTGATGACTCACGATGGCTGCTGCCGAATGAAGGAAAGTAGATGATTAGAGAACAAGACGGGCCATGGGGTGGAGTTCAAGAGGCCCAGACCGGAGGGGTGACTTTGCAGGGCAGTGGGAGCTCAGGATTTGGGTGAAGTCATCTAGTGAGTAGTGTGGGGAGAAGTGAAGGTCAGGCTGGGGTGTATGGCCCCTCCCAGCACAAGTAGACCAGCGCTTGCCTGCCAGCTGGCTGGTGGCCTGGGGGTCTGGGCTGGGACCATTCACTTGGGCCAGGGGAGGCAGATTGAGTGATTTGTCCGGCAATGAGGGAGGAGCCAGATGAAGTCAATAGAAAACTAATTTTCTTTTCTGCTGGAAGAAATGAGGTGTGTGGCCGCTGGGTAATTGCAGATAACGAGGGGACTTATTCTTAATATGCACAGTGGCTATGGTCCCCAGAGTACAGGAGACAGGGAGGATGGGAGCTGCCCTGACAGGGCTAGGCTTATTTGGGAAGAGAATTCTTGTCATTGCCCCTCCAGTGGCTCACAGCATCTCGGCCCCATTGTGAGCCACCTCCCCTCTCCCTGGGCGCCTTCCTGTCCTGATCCCATCAGCTGCCCAGCTCCTCCTGCTGCATCCCCTCTCTCCTCTACCCTCTCCCACACTAAGGGAGACAAATGACAGAGCCTCAGCTGAGCGGGGCCCGTGTCCGGCCCATAAAGCACGGGGATGGGTCACGTCTGGAGTTGCCATGGCCGCCACTACCCACCCATCTGTCTTCTCACCATTCTGCCTTGTGGCCTCCCGAATCCCTGGGGGAACAAGGTGTCACCCTCCCACACCTCCTGAGACCTCAGGCACACACATGTTGCGCTTTGTGACACAAGAGCTCCATCTGACTTTTTGCTAGTTTCTGGGCTGACTAGAACAGGTTTGTCTGAGCCCAGGTGTGGGGCATGCGGAGGAGGCCTCCCCTTGTCTAGGCCATGGTCCTAGCCAGGGTGAGCTTGGGGGGGGCGGCATTGGAAGGGGACTGAAGGGACTTCCTGACCCCACCCTGACCTTACCAGTCCCCCACACTTGATTACAACATCGATGTACAATATTTCTGCAATCACAGCATCGATCCCTGGGGGCTGATGGGGACTGAGGCCCTGGTTATGGCCCAGGAACATGGAAGGAAAATGGGAAGGGAGTGGAAAGAGAGGTGGGTTAGGGCCTGTCAGGTTGAGCAGCTGATCAGTTTTTGTGCTAGGCTTACTCTCAGGACAAGTTCTGGATAGCTGCCCCTCGTGCCAGGCTGTATCCCCAGAATTCCTGCAGCCTCCAGAGTGCCAGGACAGCTTAAAGCATCCAGTTGTTCACAAAGACTCATGCTAGGAAATCTGTGGTGGGGTCTGGTGCAAGCAGACGTTTTTAACTTGAAGTTGAGTGTAAGCACGCGCTCACACCACACACACACACACACACACACACACACACACACACACAGTCCAAAAATGTGACCAGCACCCAGCTTTAAGCCTCCTGGGGCAGAGGCAGGATGTGGCTAATATACACAGGGTGTGTGGTGGGGCTGATGACCAGGGCTAAGGGAGGGCACACACCTACGCCCTCCCCAGACAGGAGCTGCACAGGAACAGGTGCCTGAGGGCAGATGAAGTCTCTCAAGGCCTTGGCCTGGCAGTGCCGAGCCTTGTGCCTTGTCACTAGTGATTATGGCCTGGGCCACACTCCCACACACACGCAAGTGCCGGCAAAGTCACCCTGGCCGTGGGCGTGATGAATGGCCGCACAGTAATGAAATGGAGACATCAAGGAGGGTGGCGGGAAGACGGAGTGTGGCGGACGTGCCGTCCCCACACGGCGGCAACAAGAAGGATCGCCCAGCGGCCGGGGGCCGTCAAGGGAGAAATTACACATTTACTCTGCCTTTTTCTTACTGCGACGGCGCCCATACATCACCGCTGGGGCCAGGACGGGACATGCTGGCCAATTTCCAGCATGAATTATGGGCCTGAGAAGCATTGAGACTGGGCTTCCTGCTGGCCCAGTATCACCCAGCCCAACTTGATGCTGAGATGTTGCCACCAGGGTCAGGGTCTCCTTCTCAAGCCCATGGCTTCTGACTCTGACCCTGTCCCCTACCCCCTGCCCCCACCCTTAGAAAAGCAGCACCTGTAGGCAGGAGGGGAAGAACCTGGGGCCCATCTAAATGTTTTCTCTTCTTCTTATAGACGACTGCAAGAACATTGCCAACATCATGAAGACACTCGCCTACAGAGGCTTCATCTTCAAGCAGACATCAAAGCCATTCTGATTGGCCGAGGATGGGATGGGGCAGGACAGGGTAGCTGCTTGGCCCAGCCCAGAACCCTCCTCTCCCTCACACCAGAGGGGAAAAGGGAGTGGCACAGCCCTGCGCCCAGAGTGTCCCCTAGCTGCCCTGTGGGCTTGCGCCCTGGGCGGGGCTTGGCCACTTGGCCCCTCTGGAGCAGACACTTTGTGCCCCCCCACCCCCACCCCTCAATCTTGGCCCAGTATTAGCCCTATCCCATTGTGGGCCTGGGCTAGGGGGACCCAGTACTCACTGCCTCCTCCCTGGTACACAGGCTTCTGCTGGGGCCACTAGGCCCCCCCTGTGCCCCCTCCCATCCATAGTGCATGGTGTGTGGTGCCCCCAGGGCTCCAGGACAGATCAGGCCCCATCTTGTGTCTACCCCAATCCCCACTGTGAACGTGCCACTGAATAAAGTCGGGGAAAACAAGACCCTGTGTGTATATGTGTGTGAGCGTGTGTGTGTGTGTGTGTACATGCGCAGGGACATCTTTGTGTTCAAGGCTATTGATGTGCTGGTACCGTGCTCCCAGCAGCCTGGCTGCCTCTCCATACAAGGCCATCAGCATGGGAATGGCCATTACCGCACCTCACTGGCAATGCACAGGTCCAGACTGGGGGAACCATCTAAACACTCTGCTCAAAGCTGATAAAGGAAACCAATTCTATGTGCAAAGCCATCTTGAGTATAAAACTACAGTTGTTGAAGGTACAGAGTGTGGGGCAATGTTGGTTAGTGGTTGGAGAAGTCAGGCTGCTAAGGACCTGGGTGGGCAAGCCCTGACTACCACTTGTATGGCGTGGTATGTTGGTCCCCACCAGTCCAGCCTCCCAGCCAAGGATATCAAAAGTGCAGGAAGGGAAGCAGAAATGGCTCAGTGCATCTCAGCAGCTCTATTTACACAATAGCACCACCCACACCCCATGGCCTCTCATGGCTTCTTGGCTTTCTTCACAGAAGATGAGCTGGAGGCTGATTCCCGTCGTTTCCGCTGAGGAGACACAGAAGAGGTTAAGGTCAATGATCTGCAAAGCCTGATTCAGGTTTGGCCCACGTCTTACTTTCAGAGAAGGTGATGCCCACTGGTCCCTCTGATCTTGCCCTTGGCCTCAGCCCCTCACTGTGACCATTCCCTGCAGGTGCTGGAAGGATGGGGCCTGTACGTCCTCCCGTCCATGGGAGTGCTCACCGAATTTGGCGTGAGTGGTGCGCCCACCACATCAATGATGGTATCTTTGGTGGGGTCAGGGCCAAGTCCAGGTTCCGACACTGCTGGCTCGGCAGAAGCTGGGGTTGGGCCCACTGCTGGTGTGGCTGGGCCCCCCAGCACCCCTGCCCGGGCCAGTGCCTCGTGCCGGTGCCGCAGCATCTGCAGCTCATACTCGCAGTTGGCGCAGGCCTGCTTGAGCTCGTAGAGCAACACCAGGTCACTCCGCAGCTCGTTGAACATATGTACCAGCTCCTCCGTGGGGGTAGGGCTCAGCTCTACAGGTAAGGTGGAGTACAGCTGCAGCTGAAGGTCTGTACCAGGAAGCTTGCTCCCCTTGACCAGGCTTCATACACAGTGGGGGGGGTGGGAGGGGGTGGGCGTGGTGGTGTAATCCTGTCCCACACTCACCCACTCCAAGCTCTAGCAGCATCTGTTCCAGGGCCTTGATTTTCTTCTGACCCACAGAGCTGGGCAGCTTCATCTGCAATGACCCAGACAGCTAAGCCCTCTCTCACACAAGAGGCTTGTGATGAAGGGGGCTAAAGGCAGTGGTCGGAGCAGGGGAGGGAGCCCCTAGGGGTATCTATGTCCAGAACAGGAACTAGCCATGAAGTAGAATACAGTGGAAGCATGACCTTGGCCTGGCCACACCCCTGGAAAGGCCTTCCACCCGTAGCCAACTCTCCTCCACTCCAGCCTTCTGGGGACCAGCCCAAACCAAGTTGCACAACTCACATACCCGCTGGCTCCGCAGTGTGACACCTGCAGACTTGAAGTCTGGAAACTTAATGCCTGCAGTCTCAGGTACAGCCTGGGGGAGAAGGAGTTAGGAAGATTGCTGAGGTCAGTCCCAGCAGCCCACCACTCTGGATGTTCTCAGAGATCCCCACTCAAGGCGGGGTCTTGTGCCAAGAGACCCCTCCACCCTGAAGTGGCTGGCTCAGCTTCCATACCGGCTTCTCAGCCTCCTTTTTCTGGGGTAGCTTCTTCTTGGGGGCCTTGCGTTCCGTGCGCCTTTGCTCTGCTGTGGTGTCAGCTGCGGTAATCAGCTTCTGCAGGTCTTGGCTGCGTTTCTCCCGCTCCTTCTTCCGGGCCTCGATCTTACGCAGCTCTTGTAGAAGGTACTCCTCCTCTGCCACCTGCGAGAGTGAGGGATGCTAAGAGGGGTGTGAAGGCAGCCCCAGACAGAATAAGCATGGAGGGGAAGAGTGCTGGGTGGGCAGTAATCAAAGGTAAAGGGATTAGGAAGGAAGTGAGGGAGAACCAGGCTGGAAGGGGAGCTCCAGCTTGGAAGTGAGATGTGGGCTCAGTGCTGACCTGCTCGGGGGTCCGGTTATAGAGCCGCTCCAGCTGCTCCTTGCGCCGCCGCTCATGCCCAGCATCAAAGACTGGGATCTTAAGGTCTGTGCCAGGCACAGCCCGCACATTGGCAAGCTTGGCACAGATGTGGTAGTACCGCTCCTTCAGGTCCTCCACAGAACGCTTCTGAAGATCAAGATGGATGGGAGATGAACTATCAGGCATATGAAAGGCGTGGAGGTAGCACCTACCAGACTGGGAGAGCCAGGCACAAAGCAAGTGCCTACCAGCTCACCTTGAACTGCTGGTGGTCATACCGGTCATGGATAACTACAAATCGCAGGTCAAAGCGGCGGCTGAGGTCAAAGAGGTGGTCAGTCTCTGCCTTGGTCCAAGCATCATCATGGAGATACAGCTGGTACTCCTGCTCTGAATACACAGGCACCTGCACAGTCTACTGGCACACAGGGACACAGTGGTGGCACGCCCACGTCAGACCACGCCCAATAGGCTCTGGCCACACCCCCATAGCCTTTGTTTATTACCAACCTCTGAGCTGGACAAAAGCAAATCCCCTTCCTGTGCCCCTGCTGAGGGTAGCCTGCCTGACAGCCCTGGCAGGCTCTGGAACTGGGACCTTCCTGGATTTAATAAAGGAGCAACCTCACCCTATCTTCAGCTCACCCCTGGCTCCGTGGTAAGATGATGGCCTACTTGTAAACACTTCAGTGGAATCTAAAGATGAACTTTGGATTCAGGCACGGCTGGGTACCTGTCAGACAGAAGCCTGAAGCTCCCAGTCCATAACTCGTATCTAAAGCACTACTACCACCCAGTGGTGACAATGGGACTTGCGCTTCCTCAGAGCTTCTAGGTTGGCTGTCTATGCAAACAGCACCAATGCCATGTACTCATGTATTCATGCCAAACCTGCACCTACCCTAACACACACCCCAACCCTAAACCCAGAGACAACCATGACTTCCACCAGCTGAGTCAAGGACCCAAGGAAGGAGTCAATGTTAGGCTGGACCAGGTAAGTTTCTCTTCTCTGTTCAAAACCACAACTGCTGCTGGGCACTGGTGGCCCATACCTGTAATCCTAGCGACTCAGGAGGCTGAGATCTGAGGATCTCCGTCCAAAGCCAGCCCAGGCAGGAAAGTCCATGGGACTCTTGTTTCCAATTAACCACCAGAAAACTGGAAATGGAGCTATGGTTCAAAATGGTAGAGTGCTCGCCTTGAGCAAAACTCGCTCAGGGACAGCACCCAGACACTGACTTCAAGCTCCATGACCAAAAAAACAAAAACATATACAACTTTAGCCGGGTGCTGGTGGCTCACGCCTGTAATCCTAGCTACTCAGGAGGCTGAGATCTGAGGATCGAGGTTCAAAGCCAGCCCGGGCAGGAGAGACCGTGAGACTCCTATCTCCAATAAACCACCAGAAAACCGGAAGTGGCGCTGTGGCTTAAGTGGTAGAGCGCTCGCCTTGAGCTGAAGAGCTGAGGGACAGCACTCAGGTCCAAAGTTCAAGCCCCACGACCGACAAAAAAAAAAAAACATATACAACTTTTTCCAGCTGCCTCTCAAGACATTTCCTATTGGAGGTCCCGTCCCATACCCTTCCAACTTAACATACCCAGTACTGAACTCACTGCCCTGCTTTTCAAATTCACATCTACAATGTCCTCACCCAACCCACTGGCCCAGCCAGAAACCCTGGAGACATTTTCAATTCCTTTCACCAAATCTGTAACTTTACCACCAAAATCTTCTATCTCCAGCCACCTCCAGGCCAGACCAACATGATCACGCACCTGGATCAGAGAAATAGCCTCCCTGCTGGTGCCTGGCTCCCTTCACCATCCATGGAGCTCCCCATCTGTAGCCAAGATGTGGCCTCTTTGCACAGTACAACTTAAAGGGCAGACTGCTGTTATGTCCAGACTGCCATCACTGGTCTATGGTAAAAATGGAAATTATTTAATACCAGCTACTCCAGAGTTGGAAATAAGGAAGATTTCAGTTCAAAGCTAGCCTGGGAAAAAGCTAGCAAGACCGTGGGAGTGATGGTGCATACTTGTAATCCCAGCTGCTTGGGAGATGGAAGTAGGAAAATCTTAGTTCAAGGCCATCCCAGGAAAAACTGAAAGTCTTATCTGAAAAACAACCTAAAAGTAAAAAGCTGAGAGTATGACTCAAGTGGTAGAGCACTTGCTTAGTAAGCACAAGGCCCTGAGTTCAATCCCAGTGCTGGGGGAAAAAATGGAAATTGAGAGGGGCTGAAAAACTTTTCTATAGTAACTGTGCCGCTGAATGTAATATGAAGAGACATGGACCTGGGCTATCTTTAAATTCAAAATATAATAAGAGCCAGGCATAGTAGTACACGCCCTTAATCTCAGTACTTGTGAGACTGAGGCAGGAAGATCACCAGTTCAAGTCCAGCCTGGTCTACATGATGAGACCTTGTTTCAGAACGAACAAAAAGTGCCTGCTTCGGCAAGCACAAGACCACGAGTTCAAACCTTACTATCACACACAAAAAAAGACATCCTCACAACAAATTGAGATGTACTGTTCCAGAATGTATCTTACCATGTCCTCTAAAGTCCCTTCAAAACCTTAAAGATGATTCACCATCTCCTCAAGAGCAAGAGTTATCCTGCTCATTTTCACTTAGGGCTTAACACACCACACAGGTATCAATGACTAACCACAGAATTAAATGAGTGACAAGAGTCAATCATCTGGCTACTGGCAGCCACTGTCCCACCCAGACCCTCCATTCCAGCCAAATAACCTGTAGTTTCTGGAACATATATACCAGGTTCTCCCCCTCACCACTGTTCTTTGCCTTCTCACTTCACTCCTTTCCCGCCATGGAACATTCTCATTCTTTTGATAGCCTTCAGAGATCCCTCTTACACATTTAGTCCCATTTAATTTTAAAAAGCTCCAAAGCTCAAGCTAATCCTGCTCTCCAGGTGTTCACAGTGAATTAAGAAGACTTTCCTTTATTCAATCATTCATTCATTCACTCAACAGTATTTGCCTGCTGTAGCTCTGCTAGGGACATGAGCTATTAGCTCTGCTACTGACAGAGCTAATAGTCCAAGTAAAAACTTAAATCATTTTCTCAAAATACTAATTAGCAGCATGGCAAGTTTGATAACCAAGAGACATCTAGGACATAACAAGCGACACCAGATCCAGGCTGGTGACTGAGAGTGGGTCAGGAAAGAGGTAAACGAGGCGTGGTTTAGTGTCACATTCACTAAAGGAGTGAGCGAAGATGGGAGGAGAACCAAGGCAGAACATAGTCATTAGACAGCCTAATGTTGGGGGAGCCTAGGAGTTAGGGCCATGTTGGGAAATGAGGGGTGCATGAAGATCCTGGAGGTGGGCAGCTGAAGCCCTGAGCCACAGGCCTATGTGCCTTACTACAGTGCCTGGAATTTGTCCAAAGGGTCATGAGAGCCAATATGGTTAGTTTTAAGAAGAGTAAAAGGAGCCAGGCGCTAAAGGCAGCAGAAAGGAGTCTGGCAACCTCAGTGACACAATGGGCTTGGGGTGAAGGAAGACAAGGGAAAATGATACCATGAGTGACTCTGGGCTTTCTGGCTCGAACCAGAGATAGATGGATAGATGAGTGAGTGGGGAGCCACTGACCAAAAGTGGGACCCCCAGGGAGGAAAATCATTAATTATTAAGATGATTAATTCATTTAACTCTAAGTTCATTCTCCACCCATAGTCACCCAGATCTTCCTAAAAGATCTTGAAATATCCAGCTTAAAATCTGTAATGGAAGCCCAGTGCTGGTGGCTCACACTTAGAATCCTAGCTACTCAGGAGGCTGAGATCTGAGGATCACAGTTCAAAGCCAGCCCAGGTAGGAAAGTCTCATAGACTTTTATGTCCAGTTAAACACCAGAAAACCAGAAGTTGAACTGTGGCTCAAGTGATAGAGTGCTAGCCTTGAGCTAAAGAGCTGAGAGACAGCACCCAAGCCCAGAGTTCAAGCCCCATGACCAACAAAAGTCTGTAATGGTTTCTAAGACACCAGGCAAAGCCTAAACTCTTCAGTGTGGCTGCCAAGCCCTCACCTGCCCTGGGCGCTACCCCAGGCCTCAGCTCCCACCACACCCTACCTTGGGCCTTAAGGCTTCAGTAAAAATGTCCAGAGTACCCCACACATACGACGGGTTGAAGTTCCTACTTCTGCCTTTGCCCATGCTGCTCCCTCTGCCTGGAAAAGTCACTGCACTGCCTTTCCTAAAAACATATGGTGACAACTCTAGACAACTCAGGCTCCACTCCAGGAAACTTCTATCATCTTCAAGGCCTCCCCCTTGATGTACCATGCATCCCACCAGTAATTGTTTCTACCTCCCCTTATCCTTCCCCAACAAAATGGAGTATTTTGTGTCTGGTCCATTTTGTGTGCTCAGTGTCTAAGCCTCAGCTTGGCAGGAGTCACATAACTTGTCTCATCCAACCTTCCTCCTGCTGCCTGAGAAGCCTCGTCTCCTCCACTGTGCCTTCTCAATCTTGCATCTGCAGTCTCTCCCTCCCCTGGGCCTCTGAGGCTTAAGCTTGATGGTGAGATGGAGGCAACCTGGTGGGATGTGGGGAGCGATGGAGTCACACACGGCCAGGCTCACTCTGAGGAGCCTACAAGCTATCCAGGGAAGATGTCCAGGGGCATGTGAGAAAAGTCAGGATTTGCAGTTCTGGGTTGGAACCCCTAGTACTTATAAGCTCCAAGTCTGGGCCCTCCCACACAGCTGATGTGAGGCCACAGTGCAATGGCTTCAGGCATGGGCTAGGAAATTCCAGCCCAGTCTAGATCTGCCTCTTACTGAAGACCTTGCTCTGGTTCAGTCTCAGTAATCTAACCCAGAAATATTCCACTTTAGATTAGGATGCTAGCATAGAGGATGAATAAATGGTATGGGCAGAGATGTGATTTACTATGGAAAGAGAATCAACAGGATGCACGTTAGATGTCTTACTGAGGTCTCACTCAAATGCTGTATTCTGAGAGGGGCACATACCAGCTGCCCTCTAACGTCTCCCCTCAGTCTCCAATTCACTGCTTATCTCACTTCCTACCCACTCCTAGTCTGGTTTTTACTTTACTTCCTAACACCCTTATTTTCTGTCTTCCCTTATTCTTGTCTTGTGTTAAGAGCTAGGGTAGAAGGCTAAGTCAAAGATGACCCCCAAGTTTCTAGTGTGGATAATAGTGCCATTCTCTGAGAAAAGGAATAGGGGGGAAGATGATGAGTTCTGTTGAAGAATAACCACTTGATGTGGGGACCTTAGAACATTCAGAAAGAGATGTAAGTCAATGACTTGATATGTAGAAACTCTCTAGAGTGGAGACATTAAGCTGGGGGTCACTAACTTCTAGAGGGTTACTAAACCAAGAGTGAATGAGATACACTAGGGAGAAAGCAGAGTGTGAAGATACAGCTCTGAGGAGCCTCAATATTTGAAAAGCCAAGAGAAGCCACCAAAAACTAGTTTTAAGAGAGGATAGGATCCTATGGGGAGAAATACCCAGTCCCCCCTCTGCCTGCATTTGGCACAGGCCTGTGTGGATGATCATGTTGGGTCTGAACATGCCTTTGCAACCAACCCTAGGAGAATGGAGAGAGAGTACAGGCAGCTCAGTGTAGGGGGACAGCACTGGCCTGTGTGTGAATAGTGGTCACTCACCTTATTAAACCTGGCAAAGGGGTAGTCCTTGCCCTCCTCGGCTGCCCGTCGCCAGTGGAAGAACATCGCTCCATCCTTGCGGGCCGGGTTGGTAAATGGCATCCACTTCCAGGGCCGAACCTTCTTGGAGCCCAACTTGGCCTTCACTGTGCGGTAGCCCTGACCAGTATCACTGGGTAGCAGTGGGGGTGCATCTCTGGCAGTGGGGTTTAAGGAGGTGGAAGGTTAGAATCAGAAGATGTGTGGGAGCTGATGGACCCTACACCAAGGAAGGAGACCCTAGAGCAACACATTTACGCTCCTCCTGCATCCTGCTAAGTAGGCAGGAGCCCTGGCTGGGGAGAGGAAGTAGGAGCTAATTGGAAGAGAACACCAGGAGTTAGGAACACAGCAGGTGGGCCTGAGGTGGGCACACGGGGACCTGGGATTGCAATACTTGCTTCTTGTCAGAGTAAAGCAGCGCATAAACTTCTCGGTGCATGCCCTCAGGCCTCTTAAAGGTCAGTGTCTCTGAAGACTTCTTAGACTTTTTCTGGGAAAGAAAGAGACGGAACCACAGTCTAGACCCCCTTTCTTGAAAAATCTTTAAACCAGGGCAATCCCTAAATAAACCACCTACAGATACAATAACAAACAATAAAAATATAGAAACTTGCCCAGGGCCAGTGGCCTGTAATCCTAGCTACTCAGGAGGCTGAGCTATGAAGACTGCAGTTCAAAGCCAGCCCAGGCAGGAAAGTCCATGAGTCTCATCTACAATTAACCACCAGGAAAACTGGAAGTGGAGCTGTGGCTCTAAGGGCTAGCCTTAAGCAAAAAGAGTTTAGGGACAGCACCCAGACCGTGAGTCCAAGCCCCACAACAGGAAGGAAGGAAGGAAGGAAGCAAGCAAGCAAGCAAGCAAGCTGGGTGCTGGAGACTCATGCCACCTAACCACTCAGGAGTCTGAGATCTGAGGAGTTTGGTTTGAAGCCAGCCCAGCCCATTTAACCAGAAAATAAAAAACAGAAGTAGATGTGCAGCTCAAGTGGTAAAGCCCTAGACTTAAAGCTAACACCCAAGTCCTGAGTTCAAGCCCACTGTATGAGTGCAAGCGCAAATGCACACACACACACACACACACACACACACACACACACACACATCCCATCTGCACAGGTCATTCCCCACACACACCTCACCCAGTAGAGCCCTGAGCTGTCAGAATAGGGAAGCCTCCTCTCATCACTCGAGCCTGTCTGCAATGTCGTGGTCTCCCTTCCCAGTAACTTACACAGTACCCGTGCCTTGAGGTCACACCTTTAATCATGCACCTCACTAGAACTGAGCCATCCATCGCTGACCCCGACTCTCTCCTGCTGTCCCCCGTCCTCACCCCCTCTCCCCTGACCCCACGCCCTCAAGAACCCCTGCTACCTTGTCCGGGTTGATGATGTCCTTCTTGCTGATGGTCCCAGACGCTGCATCTCCCTCCGGACCCCCGAGCTCCAGAATATCTCGTACGTCTGCGCCCGTAGCCATCGTGCCTGACAGCTGGGGAGGGGACAGAGGCGGCACCTCGGGGTCAAGGGTCGGGTGCTGAGGGGCTCGGTGCCCGAGGGGGAGAGCAAGCTCGGGTCAGAGGGCGGGGCTCCTCCAGACCCAAATGGAAGCAGAAGAGGCCGGCTGCCAGAAGAGAGGAGGCACAAGTCAGGGCTCGGCCTGGGTCTCGACGCTGGAGCGCCCCTACACCACCCCGCTGGCCTCCTGGCCCCACACCCGCCTCCACAGCGCGGATCCACCGCTACGACCCCTTCCGCCGCTTCCCCGAGCCCTGCACAGCAGAAACTTCCGGCTGCGCTCCTTAGAAATGTGACGGATGGAAACACTTCCGGTTGGTGCTTAGAGAAACGGAGCCGGCTGGCAACCGAGTGTGAAAGCTTCCGGCCGGTCTGAGCCTGCCCCAACCCCGAGCTCCCGCGGTCTCGCGCGCGGTGGTGCCCTGCCTGCTTGCTGGCATTTACTTAGCCCAGAGCTTCGTGACACTGGAAGGTCACTTCATTTCTCTGAAATTGAGTCTTCATTTGCAATTGTAGTACCTGCTTAAATGAAATGCCAATAATCCACGTAAAATATGAGTACAGTGCCTGGAACGCTTCATTTTTTTAAAATGAATGATGGTGGTTGCTCCTGCTCATGAAGTGCCACTATGCGCCCGGCATTGGGCTAAGCTTCCCGTGAAAGGGGAAACCCGGTGGGCCGAGTGCTCTGAGGGGAGCCAAGATGGCGTCGCTTGGCCTCCACTGATGGAGATGTCTGTGAGTTGGGCCCTTTGGGGCTTTCCTAGAGCCCAGCTTCTTAAAGCTGCACTCGTTTTGAGTTACAAAGAAACCCAAAGGGAAACCCAGAGCACAACCCAAGCCGGCAAAGCAAGGAACAGCTTGTCTCTCAGGGAAGAAACTTGCTGATCTCTCTGGAGAGAGAGAGATGGGCAGAAGCCCTAGAGCAGAAATGAGTGTCACCCTCTGCAAACCAGCCTGCCAACATGAAGGATACATGGCCAATGAGAGTGAGGCTTGGATGGGGCTTGTAAAGCGCTAAGGATGCCAGACCTTAGACCAAAACCTGCCAAAGATCCCTGTAGGGACTAGAGGAGCAGACAGCATGTAAAGCATGTAAAACATAGATGTAAATGTAGCCTGTTCTGGCCCAGACCCAAGTGGGGTTACCATGGTTGCAGCCACGAGACCAGAGAAGCAGGCCTTGCTCTGTTCCTGTGGCCTGATTCATTCATGGTGGATCTACTGAGCTCCAAATAGTTTGTGGGGAACCTAGGTCTTGCTACAAAAATTGCCCTTGAAGCCCTTATTCCTTGGAGCCATAAGTAGGCAGAGCAATGGGAGAGAGCCTTATGCATGTGCCTCAAGTGCTTGACTCTACCCAGTTAGTGAATTGTGGTATGACTTTTTAAGTGAATTTTAAATATTTTAATATGTAAATAAATGTATATGTCAGCCATAGTTCTAAATTAGGAAGGCAGTATGTACATCTATTGGAGGAATTTACATGGAGAAAAGGGAAAGAAATACTGGGCATATATATAAACAATAAAAATTTACGATGTACCTTATGGTGGTGACAAGAGTTATAAAGGAAATAAAATAGAGTAATAGGGTAGATTAGACTGTAGTCAGGGAGTTTCTCTGGGGAGCTGAAATCTGAACTGAGATTGAAACAATAGAAATAGCCATAGGATATCTGGGAAAGGAATGTTTCAGATAAAATAGGAACCTAGTGCAAGTGTCCTTAAATGGAAGAGGTTTATTTGTTGAAGGGGCATAGAAAAAGGAAGATGTTATCTTTTCCATTTTAAATGCCCTGCAAAAAGCCCATATGTTAAAGCCAGATGCTGGTAGCTCACACCTGTGTAATCCTAGTTACACAGGAGGCTGAGATCTGAGGATCAAGATTCAAAGTTAGCCCAAGCAGGAAAATCTGTGAGACTCTTCAGTTAACCAAGGGGAGGAGGGCTGAGAGAAAATGGAGTTGTGGGTCAAGTATAGATTGTCAGACTTGAGTGGAAAAGCAAAGGGACAACATCTAGGCCCTGAGTTCAAGCCCCGACTGGCACAAAACAAAACAAAAAAGAGTTGCTCTTGAGCCAGGCATCAGTAATTACACCTGTAATCTTAGCTACTCAGGAGGCTGAAATCAGGATCACAGTTCAAAATCAGCCTCGTCAGGAAAGTCTGTGTGACTCTTATCCCCAAGAAACTACTCAGAAAAAGCCAGCGGTAGCTCTGTGGCTCAAGTGGTAGAGTGCCAGCTTTGAGCAAAAAGAGGCTCAGGGACAATACCCTGAGTTTAAGTCCCCAGGACCAGAAAAAAAAGAAAAGGTTGATCTGTAGCCTGTGGTGCTGCTGGTAGATGCTGGGATCCTTAGGTCTTTGGTGGCATGCTCTCAAAGGGTATTTTGGGACGACAGTCCTTTCTTCCCTTTCTCTTTGATTCCTGGATGCCATGAGGTGAAAGTTCTCCTCATTACCTGTTTCCTACTATGATGTCCTGCTTCTCCATAGGATCAAAAGCAATGGGAAAAACTGACCATTGATTAAAACTTCTAACACTATAAACCAAAAATAAACTGTTCTTCCTTTCAGTTGTTTACCAGTTATTTTATGAACACAACAAAAACCTGGCTACCAGGGGCTGGGAAGGTGGCTCAGTGGTAGAGCGCTTGCCTTGCATGCTCGAGGCCCTGGGTTCGATTCCTCAGCACCACATAAGCAGAAAGAAAAAAGCCAGAAGTGGTGCTGTGGCTCAAGTGGTAGAGCACTAGCCTTGAGCTGAAGAGCTGAGGGACAGCGCCCAGGCCCAGAGTTCAGGCCCCACGACTGGAAAAAAAAAAAAAAAAACCGGGCTACCAAAGGCCTGTGTGGCAACTGTGAAGTGAGAAGCAGGAGAGACTTGAGACCACAGGTAAACATAATGGGCCACATTAAGGAGTCCCTCCCTCCCCTCCCCACCCCCAAGGGCAATTGTGCAACATCCTCCCTCTCATCACCAAGGGTACACACTCTTAAGGATGGTACTGGATCTCATCCTTTGAACTTGAACCCATGTCTCAGAACTTGTTTCTTCACTTGCAGAGTGGAAAGTGTGCTCAGGAAGAAACTATGGGACAAGAGAGACAGTGTTTGTGGTGATGAAGTCTGACTTGGTCTTGCTAAGGTTAAAAGAGATACCATTTTCACACTAAAATAAAGATAAGAGCCTGGTGTTGGTGGCTCACAGTTATAATCGTAGCTACTCATGAGGCTGAGATCTGAGGAACTCAATTTGGAGCCAGCCTGGAAGACAAAACTCCAGTTAACCAGAAAAAGATGGAAATAGCAGTGAGGCGCAAGTGATAAGAGCAATTAAAAAAAAAAGAGTAATTAAAAAAGCTGAATCAGAAAACAAGGCCCTAGCTGGGCACTGGTGGCTCACGCCTGTAATCCTAACTACTCAGGAGGCTGAGATCTGAGGATCATGGCTTAAATTAACCCCGGGCAGGAAAGTGAGAAAGTCCGTGAGACTCTTATCTCAAATTAACCACCAGAAAACTGGAAGTGGCGCTGTGACTCAAGTGGTAGAGCACTTGCCTTGAGCTGAAGAGCTGAGGGACAGCACCCAGGCCCAGAGTTCAAGGCCTATAACCAAAAAAAAAAAAAAAAAAAAAGCAAGGTCTTGAGTTCAAGTCCCTCTACCAACACACACACACACACACACACATATAGGAATGTGTGTGTGTGTGTGTGTGTGTGTGTGTGCTAGTACGGGGCTTGAACTCAGGCCTGGGCATTGTCCCTTAGCTTTTTTTCAAGGTTAACACTCTACCACTTGAACTACAGCTCCACTTCTGGCTTTTTGGTGATTAATTGGAAATTATAGACTCAATGAATTTTCTTTAAGGGCTAGCTTTGAACCATGATCCTCAGATCTCAGCCTTCTGAGTTGCTAAATTATAAGCCACTAGTGCCAGGCTCTAATTTTTATTTTAATAGGAAAAAAATTACAGAAAGTCACAGAGGTAATGCCGCAGCCAATGGATGGGCAGGTAAGCATTCAGCAACACTGGTATTCAAAGGAATAGAAATACTTTATTTTGGGGGGGCGGGGGGAGGGAAGGGTCCGGTAGTGGGCCTGAACTCTGGGCCTGGGTGCTGTCCCTCAGCTCTTCAGCTCAAGGCTAACGCTCTACCACTTGAGCCACAATGCCACTTCTGGCTTTTTTTCCCTGCTTATGTGGTGCTGAGGAATCGAACCCAGGGCCTCATACATGCAAGGCAAGCGCTCTACCACTGAGCCACCTTCCCATCCCCTGGAAATACTTTAAACCACATTGGGATAGTACTTTTTGCCTATCAAGGGAATTAAAAACATCTTTCTTGAGCCAAAGTCTCAACATATAGTCAAGGCTGGCTTTGAACTTCAATTTAGTCCAGGTTGGCCTCAAATTTACAGGCCTACTGCCTTAACCTTCCTAGTGCTGAGATTTTCAGGCATGGATAAGTAAATTTTTTACAACAATTATAATACTTATTTGTTTGTTTTTGGTTTTTGAATCAAAGTCTCACTATGTAGTCTAAGCTGGCCTTATGAGTGATCTGAATGTCTCAGCCTCTTGAATGCTGGAATTATAGGTGTCCACCACTATGCCCAGCTGTGACACCCATTCTTGATAAAGATACACATGAAATAAACATTAGCATTATTAAACTGTTGGTTAGAAATGTGAATAATTGGGGCTGGGAAGGTGGCTCAGTGGTAGAGCGCTTGCATGCCTGAGGCCCTGGGTTCAATTCCTCAGCACCACATAAGCAAAAAAAAAAAAAAGAAAGAAAGCCAGAAGTGGCGCTGTGGCTCAAGTAGTAGAGCATTAGCCTTGAGCTGAAGAGCTGAGGGACAGCGCCCAGGCCCAGAGTTCAGGCCCCGCAACCGGACCAAAAAAAAAACAAAAAAAGAAATGTGAATAATTCCATTTTGTTTGTTAATTCATTCAACAAGTATTTGTCTAGTACTTACTGTAAGCTACTTATGTGTACACCACTCTGTACCAGCACTGTGCTAGCCTCTATACAATGGTCATTGCAATGTCACAGAATAACTTGTTTCAAAATAGTTAATTCTGTGTTATATAGATTTCACCTCAAGGAAGTATTTTAATAAAAAGTATGAACCTTAGAATCAATGACATGTGTATTATTCCTACTCCTGTGGTAGGGACACAAGGTGAAGAACCTTGTACTGAGAAGAGGCATTGGGCCATGTCCTAGAACATCCAG